GCGGATTTTCCCATGCTACCTTGTCAATTTTAGCTCCTCATCACTTCCGTACCCGCCAATAACACTCCCGTCCCGTATCACTATCATATCACCCTGTATCGCCTCTCGGATCAGAGGTCCCACTGTTGCTGTAACCTGCGTTACGAATCTGATGACCCTCCCCTTCCGAGGCCGCTTACCGTATCTTATCAACTGTTATCACTTTCTGTCGCCCGCCAATAATGTTCCCGTCCCACACCCTATATCACCTCACGGATCTGAGTTCCCACTGTTGCTGTAACCTGCGCCACGAATTCGGTCACCCTCCCCTTTTAAGGCCCCTTATCGAATCTTATCAAGTGTTATCACCTCCTGTCACCCACAAAAGTGTTCCCGTCCTGCCATGTATATCACTTCTTGAAATCACTGGATCCCCGCAGCTGGCTAGCAACTTGCGCTAGTGTTGGTTCACGACCCCTCACCCTCCCTCTCTAAGGCTCCTTGTCGTGAATCTTATCAAGTGTCATCACTCTTTTCGCTGTCACCAGCAACAAAAGGAGTTTCCGCTACTAGCCATGTAATCACTCTTGAAATCACGTCGTCCGCTGCTGTCTCGCAATGCGCTAGATGTTGGTCACCCCCCCCCCCTTCTAAGGCCCCTTATCGAATCTTATCAAGTGTTATCACCTCCTGTCACGCACCTAAAGTGTTCCCGTCCTGCCATGTATATCACTTCTTGAAATCACGGTCTGCAGCTGCTGCAAATTGCGCTACGATTTCGGTCACCCTCCCCTTCTAAGGCCCCTTATCGAATCTTATCAAGTGTTATCACCTCTGACACCCACCAAAGTGTTCCCTGGTCCTGTATATCACTTCTTGGAACTGTCATCCTATCTTTTCTGCGACGCTCGCTATGAATTTCGTGACACACACACACACACACACACACACACACACACACACACACACACACACACACACACACACACACCACATTCACATCGCACACACACATGCCGGAGCCTTACCCACAGACAGACACACACACACAACACACACACACAGACACACACAGACACACATAGCGGATTTATATATAGTAGGATTCGCCAGAATTTGAAATTTAGGTTCAGAGTGCGTTTACTACCAGTACTATAACGCAACAAAACAACTGGTCGTTCTGTGAGTTCTACCATAAGATACTTTTAACTTCAACTTTGGAAATGTTTTCCAGGCGTTCAAATTGACATAATTGGTTGGCTTCCCAGGCACTCCCAAAGACAAAGCTCACCTCCGTGGCCTCTTGGTCTTGCCGATCGGCGGTTGCCATGGACCGGCTCCGCAGATAGATGCGGCCCGCTTTGCTCCGCTCTAGTACCGGGCACGGCCAATGTGATCTACTGAGGTAGTGTATTCGTGTGCCATCTCCATACTGTCAGCCCGCGTCCTCGCAGGAGGGCATAATAGCGCGACGATACTAAGATTTCAACGCAAAGACCAAGTGGTTACAGGACAACCAGAAGACAGAGGGCGCAAGCATTAGAGCCTTCATCTACATATGTGTGTAGTTGACCGTGCGGCGGCGCAGGCGGAGTACGGAGGTGACACTCAGATACCTCCTCTACAGCTCCTTCCAATGCACATTTGAGAGCAGAAGTGGGACGCTACTGCAACTGCAGACCCACTGCACACGCGGCAAGGACCGGGGACCACAATGGTGAGCTGTAGTTAGTCCTGGAAACCGCCACATACGTATATGACACAGGATCATTCTGCGTCCATCTTTTTGCCTCATCTTTATTGAGAAGAAGCGCACCGGTTCAGATGGAAACGAAATGCTTGATGGTGTTCGCCCACAAGATACATAAGCACAGAATATGCACGCAATTAGTACGGAATATGAAGCTTTTGGCACACTAACAGGGGGCATTTGAAGGCCTCTCTGTGAAACTAGAAGTGCCGTAGTGCAGGTCAGGAAATTGCCCTACAAGCAGGCCAGAGGGGGGGGGAGGACCCAGCAGTACGAGAATATGTTTCGAGTGTGGGCCATCGATGTCTTATTCACAGTTCGCGCAAGCATTCTTTTGAATAGTCTCCAACTTCTCTCTTCGTATAACCTCGGCATTGTTGTGGGCTTGATGTTCTACTTCTGAGCCAACGAGGTTTGTAGGTGGAACTTTATTGAAGGCCTAACGTTTCGACCAGATCGTCGTCCTCAGAGGCCAAGTCCAGTAAGTTCTTACTTTACTAACATCTTGTAGAGCGGCGTTGATCCGCTCATGCCGCGGTGGACTTGGCCTCTGAGGACGACGATCTGGTCGAAACGTTAGGCCTTCAATAAAGTTCCACCTACAAACCTCGTTGGCTCAGAAGTAGAACATCATTCGTTTGAATGCTCCCTCCCCTTCAGGTTACTAAAATGGCTATTTTTGTTCCATAAAATTGCTTAGTATGGTTAGTATTACGGCCGCGGTTGTTTACACCTTAGGAAACAGCTTTTTGCAGCTTGCATTGATCTTGCGAATCCAAAGACCGGCAGATCGGATTGTCTCTTCATGTCACGTCTGTGCAGCGATCCTAGGTATAACGAGGTTATGAGAACGCAGTGTCCAAGGACGTGTGGTTTTTGTGGAGTTGGAGGAACGACCTTTGCACCTCCACTAACAGGAGGTAAGAAGTTAGCTTGGTCGCTAAAACCTCTAAGGACTATCCACGAAACTCGAAGGACTGCCTGGCACGAGAGAGTTTGTTGATTGTTGTCTTTTGAAAACATTACACTCACGAAAGCAAAAAAAAAAAAAAATGACCTCCCGAATACGAATATCACATTTGCTTGGCCCGAAACCTCCTAGCGCCCGCGCTACAGCCGTTGGCGCCAAAATCCCCAAATCACGGGCGCCTGTGGCGCGGGCGCCAGGAAAGTTTCGGGCTAAGCGAATGTGATATTCGTATTCAGGGGGTCAAACTACCCTAGGAGACAACATTTGAGCAAATCCGTCCAAAAGTCGGTCAAAAACTGGCTCAATTCTGGATGGTTGGGGCAGTAAAGGGTGAATAGTGCCTCCTCCTGTCCTTCAAACGTAATTCACAGCCATGTATCCACGTCAGTAGCAGTACGTTGTCTGAGAGAACCCTTTTAATAGCTTTGATGGGAGCAAAGTTCCACAGAAATGACTCGAAAGTGCTTTCCCACAGGATAAGCTAAGGCCATAAGTTTAAAATCTGCCAGGTGATCCCTTAGGGGATCGTAGACACTGTGGCGCATCTAAAAGTCAAAAAGCAGGAAATCCTATAAAAGCTCGGCAATTAGGCCCAGGGCACCCTTAATGCTCATAACAACCACCTAAGCCCCTTGCCCAATGTGACGTGGCACCGATAGTGAGCGCTGAAGTTCGAGCGTACGTGGCTTGGAAATGACTGGGATTGAGGGTGACTTTTTTTGCAGTTCAGGAGTACTGTCTGCACTCCTCAACCACCTTCTTCACCTTTGATGGAAGTCTTTTATTGAAAGCTCAGCTAGTTCAGCTTTAAAGACTGAAAGTTGTTGGACAGATATATTTACTGCTTTTTTTCACCCAGGACGATCCATTAGCAAAAGGCCAGATCCTTTCTCCCTACACGTCGTCTTCCTTCAAGAAAACTAGCCTTCCCAGAGAAACAGTTCCTTGCAAAAGTTCGATTTTTCAGTATGTCAAGATCTTGTGAATCCTGCGACAGGAAAATCCGATTGTGGATCGCGTGTCTCGCTTTGCAAGGATCCGATCTATCAAACGCTTATGAGCCAGCAATGTCCAAGAACTTGCGGTTACTGCTATCAGTAGGCACTTATGAATGATGTGTAAATATTACTGTATATTACTTAGAATGTCCAACGAACGCATAATTGGTCAGATTTCGAAGGGACGGCCCGCGTCGGCTGAACACTCCTCCTTTTGCGACCAGGCGCAGCATAGCGGATGTAACATTTTCGCGATTAAGAAACATCCGGTGACGACGCCACCGCTTTTGGATAGGGCAATGCCCCACCCATAGGCGAAGCTCCGCCCACCGTGTGGATCCCGCGTCACTCCGCTCTAACGCGTGTCATAAAAAGGGCTCAGCCCTAAACAGTCGATCAAGGCGAAGAATGCTATGTATTGTGCGCTGCGATACCAGAACAGCTTGCAAGCGCTTCTAGTCTTGCCCCCTCTTTGCCATAGCGAAAACATAACGCGCTTGGGATTCGATGAGCAAAGTTCGTTTAGTTATCTTTTAGCACTTTTTACCGTGGAGCCTTTAACACCCTTAACTGACTCTGTTATGCAATCTTAGCATAATTGAATCAGGACGATTGTGAGGCCTCCATCTTACTCTCCAGTGCTACTTGAATCTGCTAATGAATGCGTGCAACCACTATATGATAGCTTAATCCTTCTCAGCTTCGGGATCATTCCAAGGGAAATCTATGTGCACTAGATAAGAGCTGTATAATAGCCATGAAAGAACATGGCACTTGGATCACATTCACATTCACTTTTGCTCTTCTCTGAACAGAGTACGCTTCCTTAAGCTCTTGTACGCTTTCTACGGCTTAAGCTTTCGCAAGTCGTTCCCATAACAATATCTTCTGTCTTTACTAGTCATTATGTGGATTCTGATGCCGTTGAGTGGCACTAAGGTCAGATACCCGTTTAAAGTACCGATAGTTGGTCAACATCAGATTGATATGAATCGCCGGGTTTACTGAAGATACATAGAGAGTGGAATCTCGGGCTAGAGCGAGAGCCGATACGGGAGTTGAATATTGAACCGTGGCGTGAAAAGCGACCCAATTGCCACTACACCACGTCCGCGCCTTTGATATGATTGTTTGTTAATATTTATTTCCCTGCTAAGGAAACTGTCACCTTGAGGGGAAAGTAGGTCCCCTGGGGATTTGGCAGCGACTTCGCTCACATGCTCATTCGTTGCCAAAAGATAGGAGGAAGAACTAAAAACGCCAACACTAATGGGACTGTGATCACACCCAGCTTCTCGTTCGTTTCGGCAGGGTATGAGAGAGCATAGACAAATCTTTGGCAGTGAAATGAAGTGTTGAGCCATGATTCCGCTCCTACTGGTCGCTGCACTGAATCACCGAACGAATCCGGCCCCCGAAGCAACAAAGCTGCTACTCTGCTCCTCGCCAAGGCCTCTTAATTGGAAGGGAACTTGCTCTAGAGCGTAGAAACCTTTGGATCCAGGTCGTTTGCAGGAATCGCAGCGAATTTCTCATTTGTGGACCTTCTACTTACTACTCATAGAGGCTCGAAACACAAGGCTGTGTCAATGTCGACATAACGGTCTCCCTTCTAGCCATACATTTGATTGATTTGGAATAGCAGTATGACAATGCGTATGTCCATTGTGAGAACGTGCACACTAGTATGACTGACGCTCAAACGATTCTAAGTTTTTCAAACTGAAATTTCTCGCGCATCAGATGTTGACCAAAAGGGAACTGTGCAAAATGTCGCAAACGGTGGGCACGTTATGTCGGTGTTGATATTTCGATGCGCCAGAAACTAATCGTGAACAATCCACTAAAGTCGGGAGGGTGAAAATGGTCAGCGCTTCTGGTACTAATCAATCCCTTTCATGACCCGCCGCACAGTCCACTTCCTGTTCAGAATCGCAAAGATATTGTAGGCTGTTATCACCCATACCACCTGGCGGATCCACCCGATGTACGAGTCAATGTTTCTTTCCTGTTAAGGTAGCTTGCGACCTTCCGCGACGTGTGAGGCTCGTCGCGACGTCGACCAGTCGAGCAGTGGAGAGACATGCAATCGATCGCTGTCGTCGATGAGTCTGAACGCTGCCCTTGACGTCAATGGTCTCTTGGCCATGGGTTGTCTTCAGGGTCGGTGGCTTGTAGTATGTTGTAGAGAACCATGCCTGAATCACGGAGTGGTCCATTTTTGCTGCACCCTTCTATGGCAAGGAAGGGCGGAAAAAGTTCTACGAGAAGGAACTAGTCGGCCTCTTTGCCAGCGATATACGTCAGACGGTCCTTAGGCTACAGAGATGTGGAGGGCTTGCCCTCATCTCCATTTGCAAGTAGCGGCAAATTAGTGCATCAACTACAGTCTTATTCGCGGCGGAGGCTGGTGTGTGTCAGGGGGCTGCGCTTGGCGCGGCGCAAGCTCGTGCTTCACCTGCTGCTGGAACAATGAAGCGGCAACAATTGGTGGAAAACGGGCTGGTGCAACCACAAAAGCCAGCTCCCTGACGCAGCAGCATCCGCAGTGGAAAAGATTGTACCTGTCCGCCACGACTGTAGAAACGGGTTAAAAACAACGGTACTTATGAGCCAAACAAGAATAAATGAAACCTTCCACTGGAACTAGCAGCATTTAGTCCAGGACCGAGCACTTATTGATCGGATGATATCATTTCTAACTTATTAACATGGTCTAATGTGAGTCCCTGCTGTGAAATCACACAGTGAATCCTGTTGAATCAGCCGTCAGATCGGCGATGAGTGCCCATAAACATATATAAAGTTAGATTAGCGAAATAATACTAAAGATCTGGAATTTTCGTTGCAGTGAAATGATGCTGACCCTAGTCGGACTTCTCATCTTGACCTATTTTGCTGAAGCTCAGTATCAAAGCTGCGCCAATGGAGGAGTTGGTCGTGAGTGCTCTATAAGTTGACATTCGGAAGATTTTTACATTACACTAGTTTGTGGAGATATTGCACAAATCGCAAATATATTTATGGCCCACAACGTCGCAATCAGGCGGGGCGGAGCCAAGAAGGCGGAGCTTACCTCTGCCTTGATATTCTTCGGATTTTCTATTTGTAATCGCTGTATGTTCTATGGTTAGTGTTGTTGACCCTACCCCAGTTTTTTTAAAAAACGTCTTTTTTCACGGGTCAACCCATCACTCGAGTTGGTATTATTCAAAAGTTGAACAGGAAATTGAGCCTTACAATTAGAGATAGACCTCGCGACTACTAGTCGTCGGTCGCGTTTTCAGAAATGAAATCGTGGGTGGTCTCGACAATGAAGGGTAAAGCGAAAGAAACGTCCTGAAATGATAAAAAAGTCCTTGGTCTCTTGACTGGGAGAGTATTCAGAACCTGATGAAGCCATTCCAGGAAGTTGGTACGGTCGCCTGCTGCATCCCTTGGTATGTACAGTCATGATCCC